TCTGCTTGGCTCGGCTCTGGGCTGCGTCTGGGGTGCTGGACGACGTTTCGGCCTCGCTTGAAGACTCGGGCGGCGCTGTAGGGTCGGAAGGAGGGTCTGGAGGCGAGGTGGGAGGTGGCTGAGGGGTTGGATCTGTGGGCTGAACAGCGGGTTGTTGCGCTGTTTGGCTAGGGTCAGGGTGAGGGTCAGCGGGAGGGGTAGGAGGAGCGGGAGGTCTGAGGCCGCCTTGAGGTACGTGCTCCCCCTCGGCCTCAGCATGAACCGTGACGACGGCCCCGTCGCCTTGTTCGAAGCGGACATTCCGCTCGACAGAGACGGTGCGCCGTTCGGGCCAGTAGATACGGTGCCCCTTGCTCTCCTGGTCGAAACCCACCCAACGTCCGGGCTTCGACTTGGGATCGAGCTTCCTTCCGTTTTCTTGCAGCACCCACACCGTCGCCCCAAAGCGTGGTAAGTTTGACAAATCCGGTTTCACGCCCGTAGCTAACTCGTGCGGCGTCGATCCAGGTGTGTTCTTGGTCGACGTTCGATTACGGAGCCACGTCGCGTGCAAAATGGCCTCCCCCCACAAAAATTTAGGTAGGTGGGCGTCGAAGAGGAGAGCTCGCGCATGTTCGGCGAGGGTGCGGTTCAGCCGCTCCGCCTTGCCGTTCTGCTGCGGTGAGTCGTGGACGGTGAGGCAGCGATCTGTCCCCTCAGACTCCAGGTGAGCCGTGAACTCGTGGCTGGTGTACTCACCGCCACGGTCGCTTTGCAGGGTTCCGATGGAGGCGACGCCGCGGTGCGCCTTCGCCCATGCCTCGTACGCTCTATACCGCGCGAGCGCGTTGCTCTTGTTCTTTATGAGCGAGACGACCGCCTCGTCGGAATAGTCGTCGAGGAAGGTTATGAAATACTCCTTGCCATCCCAGGTGCGTACTTGCGCCTTCCCCCACACGTCGCTGTGCACGCGCTCACCGTATCGTGTTGCAGGCGGGCTCGAGCGAGCTTTCGGGAACGGTTCGCGGGTCTGCTTCGCCTGTTGGCAGACCTCGCAAAAGCGAACCTCGGATGTCGCGTCAAGTTCGATGCCGGTGATGACGCCCTCGGCGACCATCTTGCGCAAGTTCGGCGGGTACGCGTGTCCCATCCGCCGGTGGAACTCCAGGTCCGACATTGCCACGGCAGCTGTTCGGGGCGCCTGCGGAGTCGTGACGGGCTGCACACCGTGCAGTGGGAAAAGGCCGTTATGTTGCACTATGGGTCGAAGTGGGTTACCTGCGGGCGTGGTGATGCGGCAGCCATCTTGGGAGAAGGACAGCTGGAATCCGGAGTTTACGAGGCAACTGACGGAAACAAGTGAGACAGGCATTGCTGGGGCATAGAGGACGCGACGTAGTGTAAACTCGTCGAAGTTCTGTGTACCGTAGCGTAAGGTAACACGAACATCTCCCTCACCCGTAGCGTGAAAAATTCGGCCGTCGGCGGACTGAATCGGGACAGGCTCGATTTCGCGGAATACAATGAAGTTCTCGCGACAAGGATCGAAATGGCGTGAGGCGGCGGAGTCGATGAGGCGAGTGTAGCGGTCAAGCGGCAAACGCTGTGCGGAAACCTTCGAGAAGTCGGTTGCGACAATGTATGCTGACTCCCCCCAGAACGTATACGCAGTAAGCTGGTCCGCATTGTCGACGCCGGATACATTAGGTGCTACGGCGGACTTCGCATGCTCGCTGTTCGAATTCCCGCTGCTCTCCAACTGATCCTTCGAGTCCTTCCCTTTCCCCTTGCTTTTCTTCCGACGTTTCGGTCCCTGGCCTTCTCGTCCGCCGCCCTTGCTCCAGCACTCCGCTTTCGTGTGGCCCTCCTTGTTGCAGTTGAAGCACTTGATAGTGCCGCCGCGCGCCGCCATTGCCGTTGGGTTCGAGGGGTCGTCACCGTTGAGCGCCACTTCATCACGCGCGATCTCGGTGATGGCATTGATGAGGGCTGTTGGGGTGAGGGTGACGCCAGTGGAGTGGGCGGAGGCTTGAATGGCGCGGATAGAGGGACGGTAGGAGAGCGGGAGGATGCCGAGGATGAAGACCTTGTACTGCTCGTCCGAGAGCGTACCACCGGCCGTCGCGTACTCTGAGCGAAGTCGCGCAAGCTGGGTGAGGACCGGTCGGGGGTCGCCTCCCTCCTCGCATCGGAGCTGGTGCATGCGGTTGAGGATGTTGACCTGAAC